CCACCACCCCATGCCATCGCGGCTGGGCTGGCTGAGCCTGCCGACCATTCTGCCAGTCAGTCACCTCAGAGGCACTACTGCCGGACAACCTTGTCCTGAGGGGGTTGGACCCTCGGCCACAAGGGTGAGGCAGCCCAACACAGGCCTTTCCTGGGACTTACTCTGCCGGCGAAGGAAAATTGGGCTCTTTAATAATGGATAGCAAGAGCAGAGAGAGTGTCTGTGTGTGGGGTGGGGGTCCCCATCTGTCTGGTGGTATCAGCACACCAAGAGCCATCCCTGTCTGCTAGGCTGCTCTTCCTTTGTGGTGTAAAGCTGACTCCTCATTTATGCAATAACCCCCCCCCCCAAAAAAAAAAACCAAAACAAAACAATAGAAACAAAAGCTCACTGCCATCGAGTTAATTCCAGCTCCCAGAAGCCCTATAGGCCAGCAGAGATTTGTCTGTGGGTTTCTGAGACTGCGGCTCGTGCTGGGAGTAGAAAGCCTCATCTGTCTTCCAATTTATGCAATAGGCTCTTAAAAAAAAAAGGTCAAGTGTTCCCCAAGGGTGAGGGCCTTCCCTGTATTGAATGGGCGTTCCCTCAGGAAGAATAGGTACACGGGGTGGGGGTGGGTGGGTACACTGTTTCCAGGGCTCCTTCTACAGAAGTGCAGTCTCCTCAAAGATTCCTCAGCTGCTGATGGATACGTGGCCTCTCTGAGCACTGCCGTTGTGTGGCTGGGAGTCACCAGGGCAAAGGGACTTCTGTTACAGCAGGTACTACAGGCTTTAAAGGCTCTGGAAAGGTCCGGGACTGACACAGGTCTGTCTATGCCTTGTCCACCCTGCTCACTCTGCCTGGAGTGAGTCCCTGGACACTCTCTATTCAAGTTTCATCCATTCTCCAAGCCCCCTTTCAACCACTACCTCCTCCATGCCGTTTGCCCCCCATTTCCCCAAACGGATCCGTAAAGAAGTCTGCAGTTCTTTTATGGTGGTCCCTTCCCTCCAGTTACTTGTATATTTGCTGCATCCCCTGCAGACTATATTAAAGGGCTTCCTCTCTGTGGTGTCTTGGGCTAAGTTGAGAGCAGGGCTTTGCAAAACAAAAAGCCCCTTGCTGTGGGGTCAATTCCAAATCACAGCAGTCCCAAGCACAGCCAAACTACCCCAGAGGGCTCCCTGGGCTGGAATCCTGATGCAAGCAGAGCGCCACACCTTGCTCCCAGGGAGCACCCAATGAGTTTGATCCACTGACCTTTCAGTTAACAGCGGTGCCACCAGGGCTCCTTCCATGGCACCTCGTGAGCTATAAATATCTGCAGAATCAAGTTGTTTACCTAGCTTTGAGATCTCCCATGAGGAGGGAGCTGCTGCTGAAATGCTTGGAATGAATTCTTTATGAAGTGTAAGGGCGCCGTGCCAGAAACCTGCCCGGGTTCATGCAAAAGCTGGCCTCCCCAAAATGTAAGCATTAAGGAAGTTTCTTGGTCCAACATTAAGATATTTCAACTTATGACACAAAAAATGACTAGCAACTGAGCAGCAAACAGCTCAACAACTCACTCAGTTCTAACACTGGGCTTTTAATGACTTCAAGAGCCTAAATTTGAGCACAGCCACCGAAGCTGCAGACGTTTGTCTCTCCCTGTCTGAAGGAAAGCGGGTGAAGAGAGTCAAGGGCCCCTGGGCACCACCAGTCCGTGCACTCATGGACCCCTTGACTACCAGTGGGCCCATCCTGAGGCCAGAAGAACTAGATGGTCCTGGCCGCTGCTCTCACTGCTCTGCAAGGGAGCGGATGAGAAGGTTCCGGATCGAGAAAACCGTGGGACAAAATTCAAAATCACAAAAAGGACTATGGCTTTTAATCACCTTTCAGGTCTAGAAATGAATACACCTTGTGGCTCAATTTCCAGCCAACAACAGACAGGTCTACAAAGGGAACAATAACAGCAGGGAGGCGCACACACCCACCGTAGCATCAGCAACCTTTTGAGATGAACAGGGCAGCATGGACAGGCCAGGAGGGCTGGGAAAGCAGCAGGAAACACAGGGCAGAAGTGGGATCAGGGAGGCTCCATGGTGGGTGGGACAGCCATCCATGACATGCAACAAAAGGCATGTGGATTGTGAAACGGAAAACTGATCTGCTGCAAATCCTCACCCAAATCACAATAAAAAATTCAGAAGAAGATTCTAACCTTGACTTTTTTACATTTCATCTTTAAGACGGATATGTGTATTGTCAATAATAGCAAAGATGGGCTTAAGACTCAATATTTGGTAATCCAGTATATGTAAAATATAATGCCCTGAAATAAAAAGTCAGAGACCTCTTGAGAGCCCAGTACATGTGTGGACAGGCCCAGGAGCGGGGGGACCTGGCCCAGACCGCCTCTCAATTTGGATTCATGTAGGCTGGGGCTTGCTGAGCTCCCTGGTGGCCAGGGTCACCCTGGGGTTCATTGAAGAGCTCCTCGCTGGAGAAGCTGTGACTCTCAGCATTTCCACTCTGCCCATCTCTCATTGCCTTCCTTTGCTTTGGAAAATGCAGATGGACACTACAGCTGATGTGACCCAGGCTGAGCAGACCCCACCGGCACCTGCTGGTTGGAGCTACTGCACCTGGGAGATAACTGCTCTTTTGGGGACAAGGCACGGGCCCCTGCCCACAAAGGCAAATGGGCTGTACACTTCCTGCATTCCAGGGGAGGCCCTGGCTTCCAGATGGGAGCAACATCCAATAGAGGGCAGGCAAACAGGGGAAAAAAAGTCATGGACATGCTGGGGGGAATGAAGAGACTGGAGCCTCAAGATCTGGTCCTTCAGAGGTGACGCAAGGCTACACGGTCCACTTAAGAACAGGACACCCACTTTCTTTCCCACGTGGGGTCTTTTGGTCAAAGGCAGGCAGGGCTCTCTGTCTCCATGGGCACAGAAGTCTCACACTAATGTTCCCTGCCTCCTCACTGAGCCCCTACCAAGCCAGGTTCCACCTCCCTCCCGCTCTGCCACTTTTCATTCAAAACCAAACGGTGACCAGAACCAGAAGGATGTCAAGTATGCGATGATGTTCCTTATGACTACATTGTTCATTGTACTCTGATTTATTTGCATTTCTTAATTAAGAATGTGAGATCATGAACACGTCAGGGTATCAGTTGTGAAGAGGTGTATTTTTCTATGTATCCTTACACACACACTCACACACACACAAACTTGCAGGACATTGAAAGCACTCACCCTTTAGCCCTGGCTTTATGACTTGCCCCCTGAGGTGGTCCTTGCCAAGACATCCGTATGCATCTATTCTCGGTGTATGTGCACTCTCATTGCAGCAGCGAAACGTGCATTTCCAAATAGATCTCTGTTTTATGAAACCTCATTCTTTTCTTTTAACAGTTGAGCTATCTGACCCCAGACAGAAGATTCCCAATTCCTGGAAACAAGAATTCCACCGAGGAGTCCATGGATCACAAGACACTAGAATTTCCAGAGCCCTAACCCCAAGGGAACCTCAATCCCTAAAGCCTCTATCTCCAGCACATGGATGGCTTCAAGGCCCTGAGAGGGTCCCACTGTCTGGAGCCCCTGTTTCCATATATATCCTGGCCACAGGCACAAGTCACCAAATCTAAGTCCCCAGAGCACCTGGACCAGACTAACATGAGGGAGAACCTGAAGACCCCGGGGTCCTGGGTGACCTAGGGCTCTGACCACCAAGGACAGCTCATGACTGCCCCTTCACTGCGTGTCCCCCCAACTCAGCATGATCCCTGCCCCCCACAATAAAGATATTTCTATGGCTAAAAAAAAAAAAGTTGAGCTATCCAGCCATAACAAAATAATGAACTGGGTAAAGGGGTTCCCATCTCTAGAAGTTTTCTCAAATGTGACTAACTGCAAGAATTTCCCAACCATTGAAGAGACAAAAAAAAAAAAAGTTTATTCCAGACATGAAACCTGCTGCACTGTGATCAAGCTCATAGGGGTGAACTTTAACTTGAAACTACTTTAGAAATGGAATTCTTTGCTCTAAAGAAACAAATAACATAAAAAATATGTATATATACATATACACGTATATGTGTGTGTGTATATATATATATATATATGTATATACACACACAAAAGAAAGAAAGAAATACCTTCGTGCAAAGCGATCATGACACAAAAAAGGGACCAGACTGGGAATTTGTATTTGGGGAAGCAATCTGAAGGAGAGAGAGGTTTGGGGACTTGGCGCGTTTATGAGGATGGAGGATGAGAGAGGAAACCGTCTCCTCCGAGATCTGGAAGCCGCACCGGGCTCAGAGAAGTGAAGGGCACAGGATCAGCATCTGCTCTGTGGCAGAGCCCCGAAACGGCAAGGTGTGGAGAACATCAGAAGGGGCGGACTATAATTATGATTTACCAATGCTCCGTCCGCGCGCGCGCCACGCTAACAGCTTGTACACTGTCAAATCAACAATCTGCACTAAATAAATGACCATTTGGGAATTGTTAGGGAGCCTCTCCCGGCTTGACGACAAACTGTCACTTGCAATCAAAGAAAGCTGCCTTGGAGCTGAGAACACAGCCCCCGGCTGCCTCGTGGTTGTCTCTTCTAAGGGAAGACCAAAGATTCACATGAACTTGATCTTTTCCAGCCAATCTAATTTCATCCTACAGGGCTCCCAGGGGCTGCCACAGCACACTCGGAATTTCCCGCAGGCCGGCAGTAAACACCGCACACCCAGACCGTCTGCTGGGCTGCCGGCTCTCAGCTCTCTGCATCGCGGCTGTGGTGGCCAACGAGCGGCTGTGACCCTCGAGTGGAAGGGCTCTGAATTTCCTTCCTTCCAAGGTGGCGGAAGGTGTCGACAAAAGTGAAAGCAAATATTTGAGGGTATGCGTTCAAAACCACTGATTCCAGAGAAAGCAACCAGGCTGCCGCTCCAGAGCCTGCAGAGGCCGGCCATCCCCGAACGTTAGGACAACTGGAGAATCCGAACGGAACTAAATCGTACTTACCATCAGCTCCTCAGGGGCTGGCCTTTCTTTCGGCTGTTTTCGCATGCTGGGAGAAGGAGAAAACAAAAAGCAACCAGTCATATAGTATGCACAGCACTTGAAAACACGCTATAAGTTCCACCTTTGACTGCTTGCCCTCAAATTCGAATATGTTCTTAAAATTCATCATGCTCAGCTCTTGGCCAAAGTGCTGTCACTGGGATCTCTGGCTTTCATTTGAACCTTTAATCCATCTCAGTTCTGGAGACCTTATGAATCAGAAGCATAAAAATGATTTTCGTTGGCATTACTCTGGCAATTCAGAATAAGGAAGGAATTCAAATCTATTCTAATTCTTCTTTTGAAGTGAATGTTAAAAAAAGCCGCAATATTCTTTTCCTGATGCACTTATCAATTTATTTCTCATCTAAATTTGGGGGACAACAGGCTGCTTTTTGGCTAGTTGGGAAAAGCGAATAGGAAAAAAAACCAGGATTATCATGTCTGATGAGAACACATCTCATTCTTCCACTGTCACTTGGCACGACACGTCGCATATAGTCAGGTGTCCAGGTGTCTAAGGCCACAAAATGACATCACCTCAACTCTTGTTTACCTTGGCTGTGGGTCATTTGTTCAAAAGCTAGCTGGGAGAAAGAGGCTTATTTAAGTGACTTCAAAATTCAACATTCCTTGTGCAACGTATTTCTTGTCTTCCAGGCAATAGCCCTAATCAGTAGCGGAGACGGCGCTTAGCTAGGTGAAAGGGGCAGTCCCACGTGGAACGGAGGTGACCTTTGGTGGCTGCCTACTTGAAGGCCTGTGTGTCCTCAACTCAGAGCATCTTGGGGATCGAGTCACGAAGAGACACTTGGAAGCACTAAATCACACGCATCCTTTTTGTTTATTGAAAGCAAACTTGAACAAGTGAGAGAAAAACCCTTCATATCAACTATTTGCTGATGGATTTTTTTTTAATTTTAAAGAGTGAGACTTGATTACCGCTTGGTAAATAAGAACTATAGTTATGAACCATTAATGGCATCAGGGATGTATGCCTTCCCTATAAATAACCGCATGCACCTCTCAAATGCTGCATCCATTAGCAAGGGATTCAAGCTGTCTAGCCTGCGGAGTTGGTAACCGTCCTAATCTGACATTCCCAAGTAGCCAGATCTCTTGGGGGAACAAGGCTATATTACGCACTATCATTTCTGTTCCGTCATGACATCTGTGAACATTTCAACACAGGTTATCTCTCCCTCTGTCTCCATAAAACTTCTGTATAACAGCTGATTCATTTTGGGGGCAGGAGGGTAAAGCCTTATTTGCTCCCCACCTCCCCTCCATCCACCCAGAACCCACACTTCCAGACCACACAGAGAGACAAGCTCAGGGGTCTGGCCTCAAAAAAGACATCTCTGGGCTGGCGATGCCCAAGGCAGGCACTCGCCCGCTGGGGTTAGCCTGGGAATCTCCTGGCTTGTTTTCCAGTTCCAGCATTTCACCTCAGGCATTCCCAGGAGGGGCTTCCGTGCGATTTTGGGAATTCTCCGCAGAGGAGAAGAAGAAACAGCAGTATGTACTTCTGGCAGACGGCGCCATTATCGAGCCTCAAAACAGCTTGGAGGGCCCTTCCCGGCCACTCCCTTTTCCGAGTGGCACGCTTTAGAAATGAAATGTTTTCGGTGCAAAAATCATTTCCAAAATATGCAGAATAATATATGAGTATTTTAAATAAATAGAAACGGTGTTAATAAAAATTTGAAAGTTGGGGGGTATGTGTGCTCTCTCTGCCACATATTTTCCTATGGTATATAAACTGTAGGAGACGTTTTTATTAAGAGGTAACATATTGCACTTAGTCAAAAAGGTGATAAAGTTTGACGTTTATATTAAGGAATATTTCTTGGTTCCACGGCGGTGTAATCATCAGATGGATCATGGGGGAGGGGCAGGGACCAGGACTGGGGCTTCCGGTTAGCCAGGCCTCCTGCCTGCACCACTTCCAGGACCCGCCCCCCCCACCTCCATAAGAATGAAGGGTGTCTTTTGCAGGGTCACCCGCTCATTTCCCAGCCGTGGGAATGAGGAGTGGGGTGCAGTGAGGGAAGAAAGGGGCGACTGCTATCAAGGAGCCCCAGACCTCTGTGCCATTTCCCAATGGGTTCTGTCACCTGCTTCAGGATGGCCATTCTTGTGTTCCCAGTGTCCTCCCTCTAGCACCTGGGCAATGTTTGCTCTGTGCTGGGGCTAGGGAGCGGGCACAAGGGGAACGGGGCCTTCTAAGGCCACTGGAGTGCCGCAGGAGTCAGGGTGAGGGTCTGGCGGAAGGACGAGGCGGGGGCTGGAAAGGAAGGAACCTTTGGCAGGAACCGGCACTTTCCCTGAGGTGTGGCAGGGCAAGGGGTTACCTGGGGGCTCCACAGGCCCCTCTGACCACAGTGCTGTGGGCCCTCTGGCTCTAAAGGGTTTACAACGGTCTGTCAGAACCAGGTTTCCTTAATCTCCTAGGGATGAAAATTTATTGATAGGGGCATCCCGGTATTACATTAAAAAAAAATAACCAAAGAGAAAAGTTATTTACTGAAAAATCCAATGAATTAATAAATGACGCTGCTTCCACTAAGTGGCAGGCAGCTTTATGGGGAACTGGAGGTTACATTAATAAAAATAAACTTCCTATGTCTTTCAGTGGGGGCTATAACATTGTGTATTTCTTTTAAAAAAGTGGCTGAGGAACTAGTAACAGTGTCTGTGCTTCAAAGGAGTACCCTGATCCGCAGCAGTTTATTAAAATGGGGAAAAGCCTCCAAAGTACATTTATGACCCTTTGTCACATAATTTAAACAATTTTTCCAGCTTTGCCACCCCATCTGCCCAAGGCCCCAAAGTCCCTCCCGTCTCCCAAAGGAAGCAGAGAGTGCCACGCGGCCTCGCCAAGTTAATGGCATGTATCATTTACTGTGGGGCGGGCATGTTTGCAAACTGGCTCACCACTGAGTGATGAAATGTACAAATGGCTCGGAGAACTCTCCAACCGGAAGGACGGGCGAATCCTGGGAAGGAGGAAAAACAAGTTATCACAAGGTGCAACAATTCCTTTTCTTTTTTTTAATCTCCCACCCACATCCCTCGGGACCCCCTCCCCGCAGTACCGCCCCAGCGAGGGAGCGGTATAAAGATGACTATATACCAAGCATTTGCCACCACAAGGGGAGGAAAATAAGGCCTCACCCAATGAAAATGGCTGTCTCCACCCTCCTCTGGGTGTTTGTGTTGAAAACCCACATTGAAAGCCACGCACACTTGACAATGGTGAGAAACCGAGAGCCAAGAGGGAGGGGAGGTGGGAAAAGGACACTGATTGCCATGGGGTAGGGAGGAAGGTAGGGAAAGTGTAAATGAGAAATTAATGATTATTTAAGTAACACACAAATGGTCTTGTAATTAACAAAGAGCTGTGAAATTATTCTTGTGCTGACCTCTGTTTCCTTTCCTGGGTTTGCTATTTATTTACACTTTCCTTTTTATTTACATTTATTTGTATATTCCAGGGCTTTGAACTGGCTTGTGCCTAATCAAATCATGTGGGTCAGATTGAAAAAAAATTTTTTTCTTCCACTTTGTGGAAAGGCGTCCAGAGGGAAGTTGTTTCCTCCAAAGAAATTTCAGCCTCTTTCCTCTCTAACATACATAAAGCCAAGGAATGAAGGGCGCAGTCAGAAATACAAAAGTGGGTGGGGGTCACTAGAGAGGACAGGAAAAAGTCCATAGCGACCAGCGACCACCTCTTCGCACGGGGCACACGCCCCACTAACTGTTTGCAGAAGGAAGGCTTTGAGGATTTCGGAGTTTTTCCAAGACTGACAGAGAGCTCCACTGTGTTTGCAGTGGAACAGCTCAGGATGTAATGAAATGACACTGCAGAGTGCTTTAACAGTCATCTCATTAGACCTACAGTTGGAACAAGAGAGCCACATAAGTAAGCAGCTGCAAATGACTCCGTTCTCATCTATTCTCATTTGCTATTAAAAATACCTTTCGGCGGCTTTTTCCCCTTCCCTCCCTGACATCCCTACACAAAGTGCCCTGCAAAGTATGATACATGCACCTATTTAAATTAACAAAGGAATGACTTATTTTAATCTCACTGTGCTTCGGAGGGGCTTTGGCCATTTGGATGAGCAATATATCATTACATACAACCTTCCAGCGCTGCAGGCAAGAAACTCGGCGCATGCAGCATTTGGTAGGAGCCAAACAATTTCTCTAGCACACAACTGTGTCAAATGCATGCATGTATTCATTATGGAGAGCGCGGGGAAACAGCTTTGATGTCGTGCAAAAAGGAAGCACCTCTGCTCTCTGCGTGTCATTATCGATGGTGGCAGAGAGAGACAATCGCACAGCCTCCTGCGTGATTAGTAAATATACATATAATTGCTGTGGCCAATTATCAGAAAAATGAGATCGGTAATTACAAGACAGAAAATTAACTAGAACTCTTATTAAGGCTTTGTTTCCAATTCAAACAATTGGAAACTGCTGGAAAACACAATTAAGTCAAAAAGGAATGGTGGGGGTCAGAGCAGGCCACAGCAAACAAAAACAAACCCGAACATCCTGGTGCGCGTTAAATAAAAAAAAAGGAATGGGGAACAATTGGGGTTCTTGGTTGTTATCGATCTTTGAATATATGTACTCAATGCAGCTAGAGGAGAAAATAGTTAATAAGTCCAAACTTAAAAACCAACACTCATCGGTAGAGAACGGCTTTTAAAAGAGAGACAACCAAAGCAAACTGAGAGGGAAAACCACCTGGCCAAGTTCCAAGGGTGACATGCAGCGGTGACCGAGGGACGGCAGGACAGCGGGGTGGGGGGCAGAGCAGAGTCTGCTCGGAGGACACAAGGCAGGTAGGCGCTCGGCAGGGCCCGGAGAATGGCATCATAAAATGGTCACAGAAGCCCCATTGGTTTGAAGAGCAAAAATAAAACATGGTATCAATGTCAGCTCCGAAAGCCAGAAAGCCACATCTATCACCGCGTCGGCAAGATCCTGCAAGGCTCCGTCCGTTCCAGAAAAGGCTTTGTTTTCCTTAGAAATGATATTTTATGGTCTCAAACACCAGCAGTAAAAAGATAGTTCACAGTCTGGGCTATAACAGTTACAGACGTCGCTAGGTGAGAACGGCCCTCAGTCATTCCTTTCTGGGCTCTTTTTAGCAGAGGGGTCCGGGAAGTTTCTGAGTAGCCGACATTTTAAAATGCAAGGTTTTGGGGGGAGTGGGGCTCCTCTTGTCTTAATGTGACTGAGTAGTTAAGCAAAGTGGGTAACATTCTGGACTGGATTTTTTGATATAAATTGTGACGCTAATGTGGACTTCATGTCAAAGCCTGATACCAAGAGGAAATTAATGAATTATAGACGAGGCAACTTGATGAAGATGTCACTTTAACGGATGAGAAGCAAGACGAGGGAAGGTGACATCATCGCATGGGTAGTTAATTTTATTGAAGACCTGATATTGTAGCCTGTTACGTTGCTCATCATATAAAACTAAGGAACACTGGGTGGTACCCATGAATAATTTATCTTCACTTCTGCAAATGCCAGCCCACGTCGACTTCCCAGAACCATTTTCAGTGGCTCATTCCCCGGGAGGAGGCGTGGGCACAGGCTCAGCACACACGCAGCATGCCGGACACCTCTGCCTTCCCTTTAAAACCTAGGCGCTCTTGTAGACTTCAAAGAATTTCCTGAGTCACGGGACGCTGACTAGTTGTGTGTGTGTGTGTGTGTGTGTGAGAGAGAGAGAGAGAGGGAGAGAGAATGTTACATACATACAAACATGGGGGCAGGGTGCAAAGGAGCCCCGAGAGCCCCCAACTTCAGAAACAGAGCAGGCTGCCCCCAGCTCACAGGAACGCAAAGGGCTGTGCAGCCTTGGGTGGTTTTAAGGAACACCATCTTCGTTGTTTCCGCAAATACATGTAGTAGCTCAGAGGACGATGGGAGAAAACCAAACCACACTCCCGAGAGCCTCTGTCTTTCACTGCTGACTGCAATCTGTGTGTGGGGAAGCGACCAGTCATTCTGCACTTGTTTTGCTCATGGGGCGGGGCTGAGAACCAAGCCCTGGGGTTCAGGGGGTCTAGTGAATAGTCATTGCTTCTCATCAAAAGGGCCCCTCTACGAAATGCAGTGCATGGGTTCAGTTGACGTAGCTCTCCAAAAGATAAACACTGCTTAGAGAAGCAGTTACACTGATAACTCACGATGCTGGCAGAAACCGACCCTAAATTGTTCATAAATGTCACTCTCTTTAAAACCCTGGGCGCCAGACTTCACCTTTAGGGCTTCCCCCAGAAAGCCCCTCTCTTGCCAGTTGTGTGTGTGTGTGATGCTTTTCACACCTCAGAGCTATGAAATGAAGAAGCAGACACAACCTTAACCGAAAGCCTTAGCCTGAGATTCTGGTCCCACGTGAACTTTAGAGCGCTGCAGAAGGGACGTGTGGAGCCGGGTCTTGTTACCGCGCTAGCAATCGTTGTATCCAAAGAGCCGCCTTAAACCATTTCAGTAAGCCATTCTGGTCATCAAGGAGGACAGTCCCCACATCTCAGAGGTCTCCACAACTTCCCTGTCAGCCCCTTTTGCTAACCCACCAGAACACGAGCCCACGGCAGGCCTGGAACAGCGAAGGACAATGGGAAACAAGTGTGAGTGATGCCTTTGCCCGGTGAATAATGAACAGTTCAGGGAGGTCAACCCATTACAACGGAAACTGTTTAATTATTAATTATGCACAATCTATGAGCAAAAGGACAAGTTCAGAATGTTTAATGTGTGCTAACTTCAACTGGACTCTCTGGGTATTTTGTTATTAGCACTTGTCAGCAAGGTGCTCAGGCATAAAAAAAAAAAGGCAGACAGCACAAAACCTGTGAGTGTGTGTATGTGTGTGTGTGTGTACGTACCTGTACACTCAAAGAGGGGGGAGCTGGGGGAAGAGGCTCAATTCTGACCATAGCTCCTGCGGTGTGCACTCACAGGGAGGGGACAGTGAGTATACTTAATGATTCTGAGAGGAAGGTAAGTCAGTTGGGTGCTCCAAACACAGAAAATATATATACGAAACATGGCTTTGCAATGGCTTATTTTAAAAGGATTTTTTTTAAAGGTGCATTCTCTTTTTTGGAACCAAAAGGTTTCTTGGCTTTGAAAGGAACCACGTCATTAGTGTTTTTACACACACACACACACACACATGCTATGTAAACTGGTGGAATCTTGTTAGTGATGTGGATTTCCTGGTTGTGATATGACCATCGGGGGAAACTGGGTGAAGGGCACCCAGGATCGCTGCATTATTTCCTACAGCTGCCTGGAAGCCTACGGTCATGTCAAAATAGAAGGTCTACAAAGAAAAAGTTCAGGCACTACTTTAAATAACTCAGAAGAGATCCAGCTGCTTAGTAGAGCTTGGCTTTGTGTTAGGGACAAGCTTGGCAGAGTAGCTCACCCGGAAAAAAGTTAGGGAGCTTTGTTTGAGGATTTCGTTGAAAAAACCTCAAGAAACTTTTTTTATTGTGAAGGCTAACTGAGCAGACCAGGCTTCCACCCGGCCCTACTGTTTCAGGTCGTTGACTGGCATCCCCACAACGCAACTTCACCCACCCCACTTCCTCCCTGTGCTTCCCGTTTGCACTTGCAGACTCGCCTTTGCCTGTAAGTCAGCGTTGAAGAGGGCACTGGGACCCGGCGCTGACATGGTGGCTCATCCAGACATTGATGGGCACGGACACAAGACAGAGAGTGGGTGGAAAAGGGGAAGCCCCTCAGAGAGGGGACACGGGGCTGCAGCAGGATGGGCAGTGTTGGTTCTGTTGCGCACAGGGCCACTGTGAGTTGGCACCAACTCGATGGCACTATATGAAAATTATATCCTCATTCATGGATCCGTTGTTCACACATTCAGTAACTCCCCCAAGCATCTACCATGCGCAAGGCAAGGCACACAGTCTGGCATTATGGAATGGTCCGGAGAGGCCTT